TTCCTTCCTTCCTTCCTTCCTTCCTTCCTTCCTTCCTTCCTTCCTTCCTTCCTTCCTTCCTTCCTTGTTTTGTTCTTTCTTTCCTTCTCTCCTTCCTTCCTTGTTTTGTTCCTTCCTTCCTTCCTTCCCCAAAGATAAAAATACAAAATTAAAAAAACGATTACAAACAAGTCACAAAAAAAGTGTATATTACAAATATAAAATTAACAGTAAGCATTTATCCTCCACCCTGGTTGAATGCTGATACCTGTGTCTGAAATCTAATAGGTCTGCCCTCCCCCCTTCTTGCATTAGGGGTGTACAAATAGTTATACATTTTCCACCTCTGCTTGCTAAATCACTATTTTACGTCTCTTAACAAATATCCCTAATGTATAAATCTATGGTCTGTCCATAAACTCAATCCAATACCTGTTCAGGGTAAGAAAGCCGTAACTATTAACCCCTAAAAATAAACTTCAAAGTCCTCTGTTAAGAGTCCATTATTATATTTAACTCCCAGAAACTCCACAAACACCTTATGAACTTGTCCAAACCCTTGTCTCAAGTCAACACGATTAATTTCACAATCTCTGCTAACTCATTCGATTTTAATATTCTTTCTTCCACCACCATTCTTCTTCCCTCTTTCTAATATTTGGCACATGCAGCTGTCCCCGTATGCAGAAATGAGGTTCCAGTTTGTTTTCCTGTCGATTTCTCCACGTTACTTAGAAGAAAGGCCTCATTTCTAAGGAAGGAAGGAAGGAAGGAAGCCCTGGATCAAGGAGAAAATGGCAGGGGAGGCGACTTTAGCAAATGACAGAAGACCACAGAGGGGGGGAAGCACATCTGTGCAAGTTCTTTTCTCCCACTGAGTTGCCTTTCCAAATCTCTTTTCTTCTTCCTAACATAGAGGTGGGCAACTTGGAGATTCCTGTTTAATTTTCATGTGACCTTCAGCATAATTTCCAAAGCTCTTGCAGGCGATCTCTTCAGATCTCTGTTAGGGCTGATTTGTGTTTTCCGTAGCAACCTGTCAGGAGACAGTGAGATAACAAAAGATTAAATAGCCACATTTTAGTTCTCTTAACCATTTTTCCAGTGCTGTTGTAACTGAGAGTAGAATAGAATAGGGTAGAATAGAATAGAATAGAATATAGAATGCAGAATAGAATAGAATAGTATAGAGTATAGAATATAGAATATAGAATATAGAATATAGAATATAGAATGCATAATAGAATAGAATATAGAATGCAGAATAGAAGAGAATAGAATAGTATAGAATATAGAATGTAGAATAGAATAGAATACAGAATAGAATAGAATAGTATAGAATAGTATAGAATATAGAATATAGAATGTAGACTAGAATAGAATAGAATAGTATAGAATATAGAATATAGAATGCAGAATAGAATAGAATATAGAATGCAGAATAGAATAGAATAGTATAGAATATAGAATGCAGAATAGAATAGTATAGAATATAGAATATAGAATGCAGAATAGAATAGAATATAGAATGCAGAATAGAATAGTATAGAATAGTATAGAATATAGAATATAGAATGCAGAATAGAATAGAATATAGAATGCAGAATAGAATAGAATATAGAATGCAGAATAGAATAGAATAGAATAGTATAGAATATAGAATATAGAATGCAGAATAGAATATAGAATATAGAATGCAGAATAGAATAGAATATAGAATATAGAATGCAGAATAGAATAGAATATAGAATGCAGAATAGAATAGAATAGTATAGAATAGTATAGAATATAGAATATAGAATGCAGAATAGAATAGTATAGAATATAGAATATAGAATGCAGAATAGAATAGAATATAGAATGCAGAATAGAATAGAATAGTATAGAATATAGAATATAGAATGCAGAATAGAATAGAATATAGAATGCAGAATAGAATAGAATATAGAATGCAGAATAGAATAGAATAGAATAGTATAGAATATAGAATATAGAATGCAGAATAGAATATAGAATATAGAATGCAGAATAGAATAGAATATAGAATGTAGAATAGAATAGAATAGAATAGAATAGAATAGGCAGAGTTGGAAGGGACCTTGGAGGTCATCTAGTCCAACCCCCTGCTCAGGGAAGAAACCCTATACCATTTCAGACAAATGGTTTTCCAATCTTTTCTTAAAAACTTCCATTTTTAATCTAGGAGAGAAGCAACCTGGAATTAAGGAGAAACTTCCTAACAGCGAGGATAATTAACCGGTTAAACTCTTTGCCTTCAGACGTTGTAGGTGCTTCATTACTGGAGGTTTTTAAGAAAAGACTAGACAGCCACCTGTCTGAAATGGGACAGGGTCTCCTGCTTGAGCAGGGGGCTGGACTAGAAGACCTCCAAGCTCCCTTCCAGCTCTATTCCGGTTCATTACTTTTCCTAGGACGCTGTGTTATTTTTTTTTAACCTAGGCTTCTGCTCTGGAATTAACCGCTATTTTAAAGCCGTCTGATGTCGCTTAGCTTCTTCCTGGCCTCTCTCCACGCTTGTTGTGCCCATCGGATGCTCCAATGCCTTTTCCCTCTTTTGTTTTCTCTCCTGCAGAACCAGTGTTGCGGTGCTCAGAGTCCAAACGATTGGAACCTCAACATTTATTTCAACTGTAGCAGTGGGAGCAAAAGTCGGGAAAGATGCGGCGTCCCCTTCTCCTGTTGCATCCAAGATCCTGCGGTGAGCTACTTACCGTCTTTTTGTCCCAGTCTATTCTCCAAAGCACCAGAAGGCAGAACAAGAAGCAACGGATGGAAACTCATCAAGGAGAGAAGCAAGCTAGAACTAAGGAGAAATTTCCTGACAGTGAGAAAAAATAATCAGTGGAACAATCTGCCTCCATAAGTTGTGAATGCTCCAACACTGGAGGTTTTTAAGAAGAGACTGGACAGCCATTTGTCTGAAATGGTGTAGGGTCTCCTGCCTGAGCAGGGGGTTGGACTAGATGACCTCCAAGGTCCCTTCCAACTCTAATGTTATTCTGTTCTGTTATTCTGTCCCTACATTTATGCCAGGTTTGGGATGTAGGGAAGTGTTCTCCAGCATGACGAGTGGAGAATCCACCAATGGGTTAACTTCGTCTTGAGCATTTGCTCGTCCCCTCCCCCCAAAGAACGTTGAGATTCTGTGCATTTTTTAAAATGTCTTATTTTTTATTTTTTTTAAAAAAGCCAAGATAAAAACTAATGCAAACTAACGTAAGAGAAATAAAAGAAACAGAAAGAAAGTGCAAGAAAGGGAAGAAAGTAAAAAGAGAAATAGAAAAGAAAGGGGGAACAAAATAGAAAAATGTATAGCTCCCAATCTTGTTTATAGCAGTTATAAATAATGATTATAAATTTACTCAACGGTTACACAAAATAACTCCTTTTTCTATCATCTGTGCTGTCTGATCATAAAAACTATAAATCAGGAGTTCATTTTTTTCCTGTTAATATTTCATGCAAAAAGTTCATAAGGGATTTCTAGTCAGTAATAAATGTAGAATAACTTTTAACAGAATAACAGAATAATAATAAGAGTTGGAAGGGACCTTGGAGGTCTTCTAGTCCAACCCCCTGCTCAGGCAGGAAAGCCTAAATTATTTCAATTTCTTTGCACCCACAACTTCTGAAGGCAAGCAAAATTCTCCTGCTTAAGTCTAAGTGCTATTGCTATTGACTCAGCCTTCCATCCTTCCGAGGTCAGTAAAATGAGGACCCAGATTCTTGGGGGCAAATAGGCTGACTCTGTAAAACTGCTTAGAGAGGGCTATAAAGCACTGTGAAGTGGTATATAAGTCTGCTATGGCTGCTATTGCTATGTTGGAAAATTGGAGCAAAAACAGTGTCATTGAAAACCCTGGGTGGGAAGGCGAAATAAATCTCTCCTCTGAAGTGTTGTAAAAAGTGATGTCAAGTCCTTTTCTTCTCTCTCTTCAGCAAAATGTGGTGAATACCCAGTGTGGCTACGACGTCAGAAATATGGTGAGTATTTCCTAATTCTCTGTTTCCTCATTTCTGACATCCTCTTACCAGCCCAGTGTTCTGTGGAAGATAGGAGCTCTTGGAAAGGAAGAAGAAGAAGAAAGAAGAAAGAAGAAGAAGAAGAAGAAGAAGAAGAAGAAAAAGAAGAAAAAGAAGAAAAAAAGAAAGAAAGAAAGAAAGAAAGAAAGAAAGAAAGAAAGAAAGAAAGAAAGAAAGAAAGAAAGCAAATGATGATGAAACATGTTATTTCCCATGTAGGAAAAGAGTTGATGTCATATTTCTAGTTCTATTTCCCAGATCACCAGCATCTTGGCTAATGGGTAGATCTTTCGGTCATTCGGGTTCAGCACAGATTTAAGTATGGAAGACGTCTTACATCCATGCTGCCGTGGTGTGCCGTCTATTTGTACAACTGGTGAAATGAAGCAGCTTCAGAAACCTGCAGTGTTTTAACAAATTGGTTCCTTGAGCCTTGTGATGATCAGAACTGGGGCAAATCACCACTTTTGTTTAGAGCTTTGGATGCCCTTGTAAGGATCAAGTTGGCTTTCAGCTGTGGGTCTCCATCCAAGTACTAATCTTCCTATGGGTCCTCCCTCTCACCCTCTCCATTTCTTCTTCTAGTCTTTATCGCATTGGGAGGAACGAATCTTCACGAAGGGCTGCATCGCTGCCCTGGAAGCCTGGCTGCCCAGAAATATTTATATCGTTGCAGGCATCTTCGTTGCGATTTCACTATTGCAGGTCAGTGGCTGCAGACTTCCTATTTACGCGTGTGCGTTTCCCAACTTGCTGAGGGTTGAGCCTTGTTCCCCCTCATCCGTAAGAGCTTGTCTGCAAAACATTTCATTCCAAACGAGTTTGAGCTGAAAACTTCACAACGCGTCCTGTTTTGTAGGCCAAATGGGTTTTGTGGGGGGGGGGGATTTTCTAACATTATTTTGAGTGTAAAAGAGGCCTTGGAAAGAGGACCTGGTGTGACGTTTTGCCCTGAACATAGTTTGAAGCCTGATATTTTGAGCACCACTATGATTGTGTCTTTCTTACAGGGGGACACCAAGTTAGAGCATTTAATTATTTCATTCAAGGATGCAGCTGAGCTTTATCCTCTTCTTCTTCTTCTTCTTCTTCTTCTTCTTCTTCTTCTTCTTCTTCTTCTTCTTCTTCTTCTTCTTCTTCTTCTTCTTCTTCTTCTTCTTCTTCTTCTTCTCCTTCTCCTTCTTCTTCTCCTTCTTCTCCCCCCTCTTCCTCCTCCTCCTCCTCCTCTTCTTCTTCTTCTTCTNCTCCTCCTCCTCCTCCTCCTCCTCCTCCTCCTCCTCCCACCAAGCATCAGAGTCTTCTCCAGAAAACTAGGTCTTTGCCTAATGTCTCCAAAGTAGGATCATTTTAGCCTGGTCATTTGTGCCTTTGTGAACACGAAAGAGCCAACGAGATAATATTGCTTTCTGTTGTTATTTGGGGGAATTCTGTAAAATCAGTTATCTATTCTAAATTGGATTACTCCGTCTCTCTCTCTCTCTCCCTCCCCCCCTTTTTCATTAGATTTTTGGGATTTACCTGGCTAAGATGCTGATTTCTGATATCGATGCAGTGAAGTCCGGCTTCTATTTCCCAAGATAAAAAACTACCTGGGAAGACCCATCGATCTTCATTCTTTGTACCACGATTGTAAAGGGAAAGGAAAGGATCTCCGAGGCTTAGAAAACCTTGGACACATCTAGAACTTAAAGCCGCTCTCTGTGTCTTCGGTTAAAACGCCAGATGGCCTCCTGCTCTTAAGTTTTGCGAATTGTTTTTCAACATGGTTTTGTTTGAAGGAGATACATTTGCCTCCAGCCTTCTGCATGCTGATGGGTGAAGACCAGGGCGTGCAACACCAACCTCCTGTTAGTGACGTCCCTATCAGGACTACTGTCTTTTATTTCCTGTTTTCCTTTTTCTTTACAGTATTTTGAAGTTAGAATGTTACATTCCAAATGTCGATCAGTGCCTGGGGGGGGGGTGGAAAGTCCCACGATGCCAAATAATGATATCTTAAGGGTGGGGAGACGGGAAGACTTGCGAGACGATGTTGATACTGGAAAAAAACACGTTCAGGGAATGTTGTGCATGTTGACAAATTGAAGTATATTGTTTGTGAGGTTTTTTTTTGTTTTGTTTTTTTACACGGAAGCCATGTTTGCGGAGTTGTATGGACGGGCAGGGATGAAGGATTCCTGTTCTTCCTTAATCCTTTGGTTGGACCTGATGGGGTAGAGAAGATGGGAGTTCTCCTCTTGGGGGCCAGATCCAATGAATCCATTTGAGAAGCTATGAGATCTGGAGAGGACACTGGCTTTGCTTCCAAAGGACTCTCGTCAGATTGAAAAAAAATCTTTACCTAAGTGGATTTATAAAAACAAACAAACAAAAAAACTAATGCTATTCTTTTCATTCACTGTATTCTGATGTCATTTCTACATTTTAGGCTTTTTTGCAATATCGGTCTTGTTATTTATAGAGGTTTGGACAAGGGCATGTGTTGTCCTATGGCACAGCTGACATTGCAGGAAGCGGTTATGCAAAAATCACATCCGTTGATGGACATGGCCAAATATGGTGAAATATATAGTCGCACATTGATCTAAAGCAGTGGTTCTCAACCTTTTTAATGCCGCGACCCCCAACCGGTCGTAAGTCGAGGACCAAACCGGTCGTAAGTCGAGGACTAAACCGGTCGTAAGTCGAGGACTACCCAACCGGTCGTAAGTCGAGGACTTTCCCTGCCCGGGAGCGCCGCACATGCGTGGTTCTGCCCCCTACGCCGGCTGAGGCGTAGCTGGTAAGCGGCAGAGACGGAGCAGGCCGACCAGCAGCTGGCCCAGCCCAAGGGAGGTAAGGCACCCGCCGGAAAAGGGGAAAAAAATGGCGGACAAAAAAAATGGCAGACAGCCTTGCTTGGCGACCCCCGTGAAATGGTCGATCGACCCCCAAATGGGGTCCCGACCCACAGGTTGAGAACCACTGATCTAAAGTATGTTCTATTTCCCTCCCTCTCTGTGGTAGCATTTAAAACAACCTTTAGTTTCCCTAACAACAAGCGGGATTGGCCTAGGGAATTTTTAGTGGGGTTTTTAAGAGGAATTTTAATTATATAGGCCATAGTAAATATTTCTTTTTAATTTGGTTTTAAATTAGGTATTTATTGTAGTATCTGTTTTATAAGGCTGTCAGCCGCCCTGAGTCCGGTAAGGAGAAGGGCGGGATATAAATTGAATAAATAATAATAAATAAATATGAAGGAAGAATTGGATGCATTGAAAGAAGAAAACAAAACGGGATGCCTTACGTATGGTCTACTTTTGTTCTGTGGATAATTGGGAGTATTTAGACTTATTGGACCTTAGCGCCACCTGAAAAAGGTCTACAAGCCTTTGGAACTTGGAACACCTAAGCCATGAATGATGCCTCCAGTGGCTTGTTTCATCTCATATTTCACTGCTTCTCTGAAAGCTGAACTGCCCATAAAAACTGGAAAGCCTTCAGGTATGGAAGCTTGAGGGTCATCCCACCCAGTCTGTTGTAACTTAAACGGGTTGTGATTCTGTAGTCCTTCAGGTCTTACTGATCTAGCATTTCCAAGAGCTTTGGAAAAGGTTACCAAGTGGGGGGGTTTGTAACTCAACAACAGGACATCTTCCAATCATGTTCAAAGCCTGTAGGCTAGAAATTTGAGGACATGCAGGTCCAAGATGGAGAGCAGATCCAACTTGGAAGAAAATGTTCTGGCGAGTACCAGACAAAAGTTGTTTTTTTTTCTGAAAATGTGAAAAATACAGTTGAGTGGTAGTATGGAACATGCACTTTTTTTTCAGACAACTAATCTGTGATTCTCAGGGGAATTGACGGTCTAAGCTTTCACACCTTAGAGGTTTCTTCAGTAATTTCAGTTAAATTCCTCTAAAATACAGCTTTGGGACAATGTCGTCAATGTATTTCAGGGATTATTAGAATAATTTTACAGTACATCATTCAGCTAAAGGTTATAATCCTATATATTTACTTGGGAGAAAGTCTTATTAACTAGACTTATTTCCATACGAGTATTTAGAGAATTACATGGGACATGAAGCACTTTGAATACTTTTAAGAAAATGTCTAAGCATTAAGGCTGAATAAGCTACAATTGGACTCAAATCTTCGGTTTGGTTCAGGTTTCCAATTCAGAAAACTGAGATACATTTATTATTAGAAGTAGTCTTTTAAATCTAAATCTGGTCCCGATTTAGAGACATTTGATTCAACAATTTGCATTGCTTTTCCAATTTGATTTGACTACAGATACTATTTAATAGTATCTGGTGATCAAATCATCTCCTAAGGCTTTACAAAGCCTTAGTAAGACCACACTTAGAATACTGCATTCAGTTCTGGTCACCACAATATAAAAAGATGTTGAGACTCTGGAAAGAGTGCAGAGAAGAACAACAAAGATGATTAGGGGACTGGAAGATAAAACATATGAGGAATGATTGCAGGAATTGGGTATGTCTAGTCTTCTAGAAAAGAAGGACTAGGGGTGACATGATAGCAGTGTTCCAATATTTGAGGGGCTCCTACAAAGACACGGGGGTCAAAACTATTTTCCAAAGCACCTGAAGACAAGACAAGAAACAATGGATGGAAACTAACCAAGGAGAGAAGCAACATAGAATTAAGAGAAATTTCCTAACAGTAACAACAATGAGCTAATGGAATGGCTTGCCTTCAGAAGTTGTGGTAGTCCCATCACTGGAGGCTTTCAAGAAGAGAGTGGACAGTCATTTATTTGAAATGGTATAGGATAGCAGGGGATTCGACTAGACTCCAAGGTCCCTTCCAACTCTATTATTCTTTGTTCTATTTATGTGTAAATCTCCACGTTGAGTATTTGGACACCACTAAAAATGCATGTTTCAGCACCCATTGAAAATCAGTAGGGTGTCAAAGTGCTTAACTTGGCTTGTGGCTGGTTTTTCATGAATGCAACTTTCATAATCTCCTCTTGACACCATATGAAGCTGGAATTTGTACCATTTTATATATTTTTAAAGCTTTTGGGCTCCATAAAAATTACATTGCTTACACAATTCTCTTGTCTAAAATAGATATTTTCTCTGCTCGGAACACTAGGTGCTACCATTTTGTGTAAAGTTGTTTTTTAAAACACGTGCTCCTTTAGGGAATTTACAGCCCTATTTTTGTGGACTAATGAAGCAAACACGTTGCCAAGGTGAGGGGGAAAAAAAACCCTTGTTCCTGCAATGTGTCAGATGTTTTTCGCTGGATACAAACAGCTCGGCATTGTGTTTCCTGAATATCCCTGGCCAGGAAGGACAGCTTCTGATATGTGGGTTGGCAAAAAATGCTTCATGATGGGAATTGGGAACAGCCCTCATTTCATGGTGAATGTTAGTGACAATGGTTGAAACCAGAATTAGGAGTGTTGAGAGCTAGCAGTACTGAATCACAAGTGTGTTCTGGGCATCACCATTTCTGGGGCAATTAGGCTGAGAATTACATATTGGTCTTCAGCCATTGGCCCCGTGACATAGCTCTTCGGTCAACTCAAATTTCTGAAAACATCCATTTCCCCGTGTCTATTAAATATGAGCCAGCAGTGTGCTGCAGCTGCCAAAAAGGCCAACACAGTGCTGGGCTGCATTAACAGAGGGATAGAATCAAGATCACGTGAAGTATTAATACCACTTTACAATGCCTTGGTGAGGCCACACTTGGAATACGGCATCCAGTTTTGGTCACCGCGATGTAAAAAAGATGTTGAGACTCTAGAAAGAGTACAGAGAAGAGCAACAAAGATGATTAGGGGACTGGAGGCTAAAACATATAAGGAACGGTTGCTGGAATTGGGTATGTCTAGTTTAAGGAAGAGAAGGACGAGGGGGGACATGATAGCAGTGTTCCAATATCTCAGGGGCTGCCCCAAAGAAGAGGGAGTCAAGCTATTCTCCAAAGCACCTGAAGGCAGGACAAGAAGCAACGGATGGAAACTAACCAAGGAGAGAAGCAACCTAGAACTAAGGAGGAATTTCCTGACAGAACAATTAACCAGTGGAACAACCTGCCTCCAGAAGCGGTGAATGCGCCAACACTGGAAGTTTTTAAGAAGAGACTGGACAGCCATTTGTCTGAAATGGTATAGGGTTTCCTGCCAGAGTAGGGGGTTGGACTAGATGACCTCCAAGGTCCCTTCCAACTTTATTACTACTACTACTACTACTACTACTACTACTACTACTACTATTATTATTATTATTATTATTATTATTATTATTATTTACCATGATCCATTGCAGAACACTAAAAAAGAGGAAAGCTTTCTCATTCTGAAGATCTGAACATCGCATCCGACTGGATCATTCTAACCCAACCGTAGGTTCTTGTCAAGGCTGAGCGTTGCCTTCTCTGTGCACAGCTGGAAGGGACAAAAGTAGAACAAGGAAGGAAGAAGGGCACCCCTGCCATGAGGTAGAAACTGACAGCCTGAAGTTCTGAGGGTAGCATGTCAAACATGTCAACAACTACTCTTCTTCAAAGCCAGAGAACATGAAGCAAAGAAGACTTTTGAAGATGGGAAAAGCAGGAAGAAGTAAGGGGCTTCAACTGACGTGGATGTAAAAGGGAACGGCAGCCTCGTGCTGTTGAGAGCAATCAACTGTTCTACAAGGTGTTGAGACTCTAGAAAGAGTACAGAGAAGAGCAACAAAGAGGATTAGGGGACTGGAGGCTAAAACATGTAAGGAATAGTTGCTGGAATTGGGTATGTCTAGTTTAACGAAGAGAAGGACGAGGGGGGACATGATAGCAGTGTTCCAATATCTCAGGGGTTGCCCCAAAGAAGAGGGAGTCAAGCTATTCTCCAAAGCGCCTGAAGGCAGGACAAGAAGCAATAGATGGAAACTGATCAAGGAGAGAAGCAACCTGGAACTAAGGAGAAACTTCCTGACAATGAGAACAATTAACCAGTGGAACAACCTGCCTCCAGAAACGGTGAATGCTCCAACACTGGAAGTTTTTAAGAAGAGACTGGACAGCCATTTGTCCAAAATGGTATAGGTTTCCTGCCTGAGCAGGGGGTTGGACTAGATGACCTCCAAGGTCCCTTCCAACTTTATTATTATTATTATTATTATTATTATTATTATTATTATTATTATTATTATTATTATTATTATTAAGGCTTTGGTTTGCAGGAAACATTCTTACCTCGCAGTATTGTGTTGACCATTTGATAGATTGTGGGCGCACCAATCAAATTAGCCTATTCTATTCTATTCTATTCTATTCCATTCCCATGTTTGGAAACAAAAAAAAAAAGAACTGTATCAATATCTGGGTCCAAATTCTTACTGGTC